CCTGCTCTGTTGGGTCTTGGGGCAGCAGTGGGACATGCAGCTACTAACTCTGTTTCCCACCTCTACTTTATTTTTGCAGTAGAATAGGTGGAAAAAAACCTCAGCAGCAGTGCTCTGATGAGTCACTACAGAAATAGCTCTGGAACATAAAAGCCTCCTTTGTGTCACACTACAAAGTGCGTTATCGGGCTGGTACAGGGGACAGAAGAACACAGAAACTGGGGATCACTTACCCAGCTGCAAAGCACAGCAGTGCCCTGCCCTGAATTTAAGCAGCACATGTAACCTGGTCCATTCTGGTTTCAAGCTCAAAGGCATCAGGTCGATCCTGTGGGTTAGCAGCCAACATGTCTTTCAAGAGCTGCTTGATCCCCTCAGACATGGAAGTCCTGCGTTTCTGAGGGATGTGCAGCTCCATCTTTGGGTTTTCTAGCAGCGCTTCCCCAACGGGCACAATCTCAGTCCCCTGCTTGACGTAGGTCCCCAGCAGCTCCTTCTTGGTCTCTGCATCAATGAAGGTGATCCTCTCGATCATGGCCCAGATGATGATGCCCAGGGCGAAGATGTCAGCCTTGGCAGTGTAGTGGCCCTCCCAGACCTCGGGGGCCATGTAGAAATCAGAGCCACAAGCCGAGGAGAGCCAGTACTTGTTCACATTCACATTCCTGTTCTCGTGCCCCCCCTCCTTGCCCCGAGCAGTCAGGCCAGCGCAGACCTTGCTCAGCCCGAAGTCAGCCACCTTGAGGACAGGGGTGCCAGACTTCTCAGTTATCAGGATGTTGTCTGGCTTCAGGTCCCGGTGGACAATGTGGTTCTTGTGCAGGAAGGCAATGGCACTAGTCAGCTGCAGCATGAAGCTCTTGTTTGTCGCTGGGTCAGGTCTTCGTGAGAGCACGTACTGGTTGAGGTCTCCTCCTTCGCAGAACTCCATGACAAACCACAGGTAGCAAGGTTCCTCTGCATAGCCCAGGATCCTCTCACCTAAAAAGGGACAGGAGCAAGAGTGAGTTTATCAGGCACTACACAATGTCCACACCAACTCAGCGCAGGCAAGCAACAGGACTGGTTTATGCAGACAGGAAAGGCTTTAGGAACATGACTGGGATCTACCACACTTGCAGGTACCAGCAGGCACCGCTGTGGCTTCAAGTGCTTTCGGATCCCGTGGAGTGCCATGCACCAGCATGACCTTTATCTGAGCCCACTGCAACAGGGGCCTGTTCCAGGCAATGCACACACATGCGAGTGAGATCAAGCACGCATCTTCTCAGGTGCTTGCAGGGAACATGAAGCAGAGGGTTATTTTCCTGTCCTACCATCAGGAAATTCCCCCTGGGCTCAGACAGCCAAAGCAGCAGAGACCAAAAGCACAAACAGCAGCAAGTCTATAGGAAAAAAAAGAACCAGTTCTATGTGAACAGAAGCTCTCCCACCTTAGCTCTGCTGCAGGAGGCAAAGCTTATACCTTCCTAGTATAACTGTGAGTAAATTGCATGTCTTAACACTGTGCCAGTCCAGCTTAGCTAAGAACAGTCACTCCAGTGTCAAAGCTGGCTCCTCAGACTAGACTTGTGTGTTTACGCATTGTGTTTGTGCTCAGGAACACTTCATACAGCTCTTATAGTGCCAACAAGTCTTTAAGGAGAGGAAACTGGAGGCCCAAGCAGCAAACAACGTTTGCTGGGTGCAATCTCAGCCACACTTACGAATATAAACTTGCTGTGCTCAATATTACACCCCAAGCAGCTTCTTCCTTCACCAGACATCTCATTGAGCTCTTCAAGCTCAGAGCATCTCAGGTCCAACTCACTTTACTCCACAAGCCCCCTGCCAAGGCAAAACACTCTCTTGCACATAACTAGACACAGACAGAAATGCAACAGCATCACATCAGCTAACGGGGCTAGTCTGACACTGGCTCTCCTGCGATGCCAGGTTGCCCTGGGGAATACCAGTGTCAGACCAGCCCCATTAGCTGATGCCAGGAATCAAACCCCACTTCCAGACCCCAGTTTACCTGCACGGAGCACTGAGATGACAGGCAGAGCTCCACACACAACCAGGGCTCTAGGAACTAGGCTTTTTCCACCCTCAAGCACTATAAGGGAGAGAAGCTGGAGGACACCACTCGCCTCTGCCACAGTTCAAGCCACCCAGAGGGACCCGAGTGTTTTGAAAGCAGTTATTAACTCCACCCATTTGACAACATTGGGTTTTGGTTTAGCAAAGCCCTAGAGAGTATCTGGGAAAAGCAGAAAGTTCCAGGAGCAGGTAAAGCCAAGGGCTACGCAGGACACCAAGCCCTGGGCTGCCCTGCGCTGGTCAGCGACTGGTGTGGGTGGGAATATTGGTTATTTGCACAAACAGTCTGTATCCATGGCTACTGCTATGGAAATGGAAGTCTGGACAACAGCAGGATTTGGCTGAACCTCCCTGCCCTCAGCAATCTCCTAGGTCTGGATGCTGGGAGGGAGCACGAACAGGCTGGAAATACAAAGCACTGGGTGCGCTAAACGAGACCCCTAAAGTGCTGGAGGGGGGCTCGGCATATAAACCCAAGGGCCAACTGGGAGCAGCACAGGACAGCTTGGCTCTGGAGATCAAAACACTGACCAGGAAAAGCAGCTTCTCTGGTGTGAGCCACCCTTTGGCAAGACCTGTGTGACAGCACAGAAACTGAAGCAGAGGCTGCTCATCCCCCACAGCCAGGACAGCCCCAGCTCACACTACTCGGGTTTACTAAACCACCATGAGGAGCAGGAGGGTTTGGGTCTTCTCAGCCAGGAACCACACCATGATGGCACAGCAAGCCCCATGCCCATCACACATAGGCAGGGCATGTAAGTGGGATGGTGAGAGCATTCACGGGGCTCAAACACCAGCTCACCAGCAGCCAGGGCCTGGCTTGGACAAGCCAATGTTTGTTTTAACCCTGACAAAGGCTCTGATGTGAAATTTGGCCCCTGAACCTCAGCAAGCAGAGGGAGGATGCCGCTGACCCAGCAGTAGCTGCAAGCACCATGCACTTCACTTTGGGTGGAGTGCTGCTAAGAGAGGCTTCAGCCAAGAGTAATATTTCCTCATTTTCTTTCTATAATCAGAAAGTGCTTTAGTTGTTAAATCATCTTCCTACCTTCAAAACAAACAGCTTTAAACATAAAGAGCTGGCAAGGCGCTTCCTAAAGATGAGCTGTTTGCAAACTCATGTCAAGCAGCCAAGAGCTGAAGAGATGCAGACAGGCCGGAGCTGTTCTCCATCACAAAGAGAGCATCTCCTACCCAAACAGAACAGCACACACCAACCTCTCCATCCTCACAGGAGCCCTCCTACCACCTACCCTGGGAGCTCATTAACAGCTTCTAATTTGCTTAGTATCACAGATAAAAAATAATGTAATGACAGCAGACCCAGCATCCCACTCCCCACATGTAACCTCTGACTCCCTCTGTGCAAAAAGGCTGCACCAGAGGGGAGCTGGCAGCACGAAGCCTGGGAGTTACGGGTCAGGAACAACAAGAGGAGCACATAGAAGCACAGACTGGTTTGGGTTGAAGGGACCTTAAAGCTCCTCCAGCTCCAACCCCTGCCACGGGCAGGGACACCTTCCACTAGAGCAGGTTGCTCTAAGCCCCTGTGTCCAACCTGGCCTTGAACACTGCCAGGGATGGGGCAGCCACATGGCCATGCACAGCCCTGAAGGTGCATGTGTGTCATGGTACCAAGCACGTTGCTCAGGGATGCGCCTCTTCCTCAGGCTCATTCCAGGCTTCCAGCTTCCTCTCTGCACTCTGCCCTTAACTCATCATTCCACATCTCATTAAAACGATGAGGGCTCGGGCTCTGCTGTAGCTGAGCCCCGGCAGTGCCTGGTAGCCAGCAGTGGTGCTCCTGATGCAGCAGGGCTGATTAATCCCCGCCGTGCCCTGAGCCCCAGCACGTTGGCACAGCATCTGTGCCGGCCCGTAAATAGCCCGGCTGCGGTCGTGCCGAGCAGCACGGCAGCACTGCACAGCTCCGCGGCTGCACGTGGGGAGGGACACACCGGACCTGGAGGCTCCTCTGGCCCCAGCTTTCGCTCTGGAAGTACTTATCAGCACTGTACCAGACCCAAAGGCTGGGAGGGCAGCGAGCACGGGCTCTGCCTGAGCCCAGGGCCAGCACAACACAGCCCACGGGGCACGCAGGTGGAAGGCAGATGGAGGGGAGGGCACATTCTGGTTTGGGGAGGGAAACTGCTGCTCTCCAGCCCTGTGATGGAGAGCCCAGCTCTGCTCCCCCCTTCAGAGGGCTGCAGCAGAACCAGGGCAGCAAAGCCCTCCCCATGGCAAGGGAAGTCAGGGGGTTCTCTCTCTACCTAGAGATGAGGGACCTGTAAGTACCCAAGAAGCTTTCCCAAGCCTCTTCATAGGGTGTGCAACCGGACAAAGGGAGCCAGAAACCCTGTATCTGCAGAAAGAGCGTGACTTGCTGCAGCTGGACACACAGCCAAGGGGAAGAGCTGGCTCCTCTCTAGGGAGCTGTGCCTGTGAGAGCACATAAAGGAAGCACCCAGGCTATGCAGAAATCAGGACACTGCCCTCGGAACACACAGCCACCCCCGGGAGCCACCCCAAGGGCAGTGTCTGTGTGTGGAATGTGCAGGGAGAGCAGGATGAGGTCTGCACGAGGGAGAGCCAGGCAGGTCCAGACATGTCCCCTCCAGGAGTGCAGAGGTGACAGGAGAGGTAGGGGCAGCCTGAGACCCTGAGGGTTGCTCAGAGGATGGGTCTTGGTAGCCCTGTGTGAAGTCTGTGCCTGGCACAGGGCTTGGCCTATGGGGGGCATGGGGATACCAAGCTCCCCAAGGAGCGTCCTGGCACACAAATTTGGGGATGGAGGGTGTGGGGTGAGCTGGCTCCGGAGGCTGGGGGGCACAGGGGCATTGAGGAGACCGGGGTCCTGTCCTTTTCCACATCTTTACTACATTGGCAGAGCTGAGTCTGACAAGCAGCCAAGGGAGCAGAAGAAGGGAGAGAACATTTCAGAGATGCCACCATCACAGTTATCAGCTGTGACAGGAGAAGGCGACCCCTGACAGCCCCGTGATGCTGCTGAGGGACCCCAGGGGAAAATGGGGGTGTCAGGCCAGGCCATGGGCACTGGTGCTTCCAGAGCTGTCCCCACAGAGCCAGCACTGGGGGAAACAGGGACAGGAGAACACAAAGAATGGTCCCAAAGGTGTAAGGGCTCAAGGAAGCAGGCAAATGGGCTGCAGCCTTGCGGGGGGCTCAGAGCAGGCAGGACTGTGTGACAGGCATAAAGAGGAGGAATGTCCCCTTGGTGTGAGCAGGGCAGAGACCAGTGAAGGTCCCTGAGGGACATGCGTGTGCTGTGCTGCAGGTCAGGGTCTGCGTGTCTGTGGCGCAGAGCCTCAGGAGAAGGGGGTAAGGGAGAGGGGGGTAAGTGCTGGCAGGGGTGCAGGGAAGGGCTGAGGGATGCTCCCCAGGGCTGGGTCCAAGCCTGGAGGTGACAACAGGAGGAGGGAGACAGGGCTGGGGTGCTGCAGAGGTGCTGGGCACAAGGAGGGACCCCACGGGGAGGGCACAGGAGGGGTGTCCCTGGGAGCAGCACATAAAGGAAGGGGAGAAAGGGCAGAGGACACACAGGCAGAGCCCAAGGGAACGGTACAGAGCAGGGCCCAGCACAGGGGATGCTGGGTGGGGGTCCCACGAGGGTCCTTGGGGTGGGTAACAGCAAAGAGGGGGTGCTGGGGGAGGAGAGGGACCCTGCAGGGAGAGAGCAGAGGTGGGTAATGGGAGCATGGCTGGCCAGAGGGACCCCAGGGCTGGCGAGGAGCAGGACAGAGGAGCCGTGGGGGGGTTATACTGGAGAAACAGTGAGTTAAGGTGGAAGGGAGGGTGTTGGGTGTCCTGTAAGAAAC